GGGGGCGGGCCGGGCGCGCGCGAGTCCGGAGACGGGAGGGCGCGCGGCTCGGGAAAGGTCAGGGGAAGCGGAGGCTGTGGATGCTTTTTACCAAAAGCAAAGAAAACAACACGAAACAGAAAAGCGGGCAGCGCTCTGTGAAGCCTTACTGATTTGCCTGCATGGGCCATGCATGCCTGCTGGGCCAGGAAGCGCGTTTGGAGGCGGTTTCAGGGAAGGCAAGCGTGTGCTTCCTCGGCTGAGGGTGCGTGAGGGTGATGTGGTTCCGGCTCGTAATAAAACAGAAACAAAACAAAAACAAAATGAAAAATCTTTAGAACTGCATTGTCTGCTGTTCAGCAGATCTCGAAGTATGGGACTGCTGGTTTATTGATAGGAACTCCAGCTGTGGGCTGGGGAGCAGCGGGCTTGTGCTGCCTTGCGTTTTAAGCCTGTAGAAAGTTAAAGGCAAGAAGGAATAAACAAATCAAGGCTGTGGGAACAAGTGTCATGGTATAGTTGCTTTCTGATGGTCACTTTTGTCCCTGGCATAGTCTGCATCCCACTCCATGAGTCATATCCACTGTTAGGAATCCTCCAAATACTGGTTATACTTGAACTTAGGGTGAAACTTGGGGGCGTTCAAAAACTTTTTCCTGCTTGTTTTGTTCTGAGGCTGCGTTGGTATTGCGGGGGGAGGGGGGGAGATCCTGTAGATAAGCCTGTTGGACCAGGAAGAGTGAAATAAGCCTCCTTAGGCATAGTTAGGAGCATTCCAAACTTGGGATTGTACTTAGAATAAGTTTTACCTGATGATGGAGAATTCCTAATGAAATTGACTTTGTGGATATTTTGATGATTTCTTTAAGATACTTGCTGGTTTTGCTTAAGGTCATTCACAAAAAGCAGTGAAAACTCGGGCTAATATATTGGTTTCAAATGTGCGTGTGTGTGTGTGTGTGTGGGGGGGGGGTTGACAGGGATCTCCAAATTGTGATTGAGACACTTTTGTTGTCAGACCAGTGAAAATAATCGCTTTTAACTTAGTGACTTTTGACCCCTCATTTCAATAAGTAATTTCTCGTTTGACTTGTGGCTGGCCCACTTGGGAAATAAAGTGTATATGAGTCGAGTAAAGTGACGTAAGTGCACGAATTCAGAACCTCGTTCTTTTCTGTTGCAGATGAACCTCTAGTCTTGCTTTTGAAAAAGCCACTCTGTGTAACTCTTGACTGTGAATGCTTTTCTGCACACCTGTCGGGAGGATCTCTGACAGAGTATGCCACTTGAGAGGCCCTTCTGGTGACCAGATACTGGGCATTAGAGAAGAGAGGTGTTCCTGTTTTTGGTTTCCTGAGCATTATGAACATTGACTTTCCACCCCTGAAGTAAAAATGTTGAAAGCTGAGTCTTCAGGTGAACGGGGCACTCTCAGAAGTGCCTCTCCCCACAGGAATGCATATAGAACTGAGTTCCAGGCCCTGAAAAGCACTTTTGACAAACCCAAGCCAGATGGGGAACAGAAAGCAAAAGAGGGTGAGGGCTCCCAGCAAAGCAGGGGCCGGAAGTATGGCTCCAATGTCAACAGGATCAAAAACCTGTTTATGCAGATGGGCATGGAGCCCAACGAGAACGCCGCGGTCATTGCCAAAACCAGGGGGAAAGGTGGGTCTTCATCCCCGCAGAGAAGGATGAAGCCTAAAGAATTTCTGGAGAAAACAGATGGCTCTGTTGTTAAGTTGGAGTCATCTGTCTCCGAACGAATCAGTAGATTTGACACAATGTACGATGGCCCCTCGTATTCCAAGTTCACAGAGACCCGGAAGATGTTTGAGAGGAGCGTGCATGAGTCAGGGCAGAACCACCGGTATTCCCCAAAGAAAGAGAAGAGCGGAGGGAGCGAACCACAGGACGAGTGGGGCGGGTCCAAATCCAATCGAGGCAGTACAGATTCCTTGGACAGCCTTAGCTCTCGAACTGACGCAGTCTCCCCAACGGTGAGTCAACTGAGTGCAGTGTTTGAGAACACCGAGTCCCCCAGTGCCATCATTCCGGAGAAGGCAGAGGGCAGTGAGTACTCGGTGACTGGGCATTATCCCCTGAATTTGCCATCTGTGACTGTGACAAATCTCGATACCTTTTGCCACCTTAAGGATTCTGATTCTTGGTCTCCTTCGAACAAACAAGAAGGGGATGCTGAGGATGCTGAGAAGAGTAACGCAACGCCGGGAGCAGAAGTGACTCCTAAGAGTGCCTCTGTAGCCTCCTTGCTTAGTGAAGAGGCACAGCAGAGCAAGGAAGCCGAGGACTGCGCATCTAACCAAGAGACTCCGGACAGAACTGACAGAGACCTTCCCGAAGAACCTTGTGCTGACAGTAAGGCAATGCCGAGGTCTACGGTCCTTTCTCCACAGAATGACCCTTCAGGAGTTGCTGGAGCTCATTCGGTTGGGACGGAGGCAGCAAAACAGCAGAGGAGAGAGATGGCAACTGGTGGTCTCACCTCTGCCGATGCCTCTCCATCCAGCTATGGAAGAGAAGTCCCTGAAGACTTCAGCAATTTCGAGAGCTCCCATGTGTACATGCATAGTGACTATAATGTGTATCGGGTGAGGTCCAGGTATAATTCAGACTGGGGGGAGACAGGCACTGAGCAGGATGAGGAGGAAGACAGTGATGAGAACAACTACTATCAGCCCGATATGGAATACTCAGAAATTGTCGGACTGCCAGAAGAAGACGAAATCCCAGCTAATAGGAAAATCAAGTTTAGTAGTGCTCCAATTAAGGTAAGTATGCTTTCTTAAATTGTTCTCTTAAGTTTGTGTTCGTTTTGGGGCCTAAGTGTATGTGGAAGAGGTTTGAAAACTACTGGAAGTCTTTGTAAGGAATTTAAGATTGCTGGTGTGTGCCCACTGTCAGGTGTTTGAGAGGCGTCAGTCACATTTCCTGCTGCGCTTTAATAATGATACAAACCAGGAGTGAGCAGTGTGAAGGTTGAAGAAATCTGGAGATTGGGAGATGCATTCCATTGGACTGCAGTATGAAAGAAATGAACCCTGAGTGTGTGTTTGAAATAAAACTATAACGAGTGTTGCTTAACATTTCCTGTCCAAACTTTCTGAATCTGTAAACTGTAAGATCTGAGGTATAAGGTGCATCAGGTAAATTATGGTAACCTTGAAATAATCGTCTTTATTTACTTGCTTTAAAAATCCGAGTTACTCCTTCCCTCCGTGTAAGTGGATTATGAGGAATGTTGTCGGAACTTCTTTTTTAGATTGCTACGTAGCCGTGAAAATTTGATCTATGGAAATACATTAGCTGACTTAAATACTGTGATTGAAAAGCTCCAACTGTAAACAGCTTTGAATTCAGAGTTTGTTATGTAGCCTTAAAATGAGATTTTGTGAAAGGAAGTAGAGGTGATTTGCCATTCATGGATTTATTTTACCTCTTAAAAACTGGATAAATGCCAGTTGAATTCAGATGCTCTGTTCTAATGACTTCACTTAGCTAACATTTGGTATAGAAGAATTGCACAAAGTGCGCCAGCAGCGGGGGGTGGAACATTATTAGGGATAATGGCAGTAGGGGCAGGAGGTGTTTGGTTGAGTAGCAGAATCCCTGGAGTGCTTTTTCAAAGTGTCCTGGCCCACCGGCTCAGTCCTCAGAAGCTGGCACACACTCCTTGGGGAAGCCAGAGGGCTGTGGGGCAACTGTGTACTCTGAAACTGCTTTCCAGGGGCTTCTGGGTTGTATAATGTGTGTGTAGGAGAGATTTGGAAATTGATATTATATCTCCTCAACGTCTAGAGTCCGTTGTTACTTCTTCATCCCTGTAAAGCTGCAAGATAAATCATTTACTTGGAAATAGCCCCAGAGAAGTCTGACGTTTTAATTATGAAATCGTATTTTAAAATGAAATAATTTGTGAAATTGTTTACAGGGTGTTTGTGGGCAAATTTTCACTGCATTAATGTGAGGCAGAGGTTCTGGATGACAACGGGTCGTGTCGAATTAAACTGTTTAAACCACAGACGTGAGTCTGGTTTGAAAGTAAGCTAAGTTTTCTTTCAGTCTCTTCCGCTGCCCTGGGATTCTCTCTCCTTTGCTGTCCCCCTGCTCCCACTTCTGGTAGTCTTCAAAGGTGCCCTTTCCTCAGACCTGGCTAATGAGCCGCCGATCTTCACTGTTCAGGTCCCCTTTGAACATCATCTTTCTGTCCCTGAGGAGCAAAGCAATATGATTAAATTGTTTCACATTGAGCGAAGCACGAATAACTGAAATGAACTCTTCAAAGGAGTTTGTTAATCCTGGCCACTGACTTTTTAATAGGGGGACAGCAGTTTATAAAAAATTATCAAGTAGAACATTAGCCACTCAGCCCAGTGGGACACTGGGCTGTATTCAGCTCCTGGGCTGCCCGGAACATAACTAGACGGTAATAGTTTGATGGATTTCAGGGGATTTGTCAGTGAAGTACGTCTGTTCGTATGTGAACAGACCAGCGTTTTGGATATGATATTTTGAAATTCAAGCGAGTTTTTAAAAATTATTCTAACAGTAAGCATTTTGCCTCTTACACAGTAAGTAAGCTGGATTTCATATTACAAAGAATGAAAATACGTATGTTTAAATTTAACATGTTTCTTAAACTTAGGTCAAGCGTATGATTTGTGAAACACTCTGTGATGTGTTTTATTGGGCATTTAGTGGGACTGGTTGGAGTGGATTAAGTTTGCAAACAGAATGGTCATTATTAGCCCTTTTGTAATGAATAGGACAATTACTCTTTCTTGTTGCTTCCACACGCAATTGGATTGATTCACTTTGGAAAATTCGAGAGCTGTTTTCTACGGGTCTTGGTGCCGTTTTGGTTATTTTCAATTAAGGTTTTTTTTTTTTTTGCCTCAGCAGGTGGTGAAGTCTTAATTCAGTTCAACAAATATTTAGGGAAGGCTTATCATAAGTGTCCTTTGGTACTGCTAGCTGCAGAAGAAACAAAAATCCAGAAAGTTACTTTTTTCCTCTGTGATCTTGTAATTCTTAAAAACACTGAATTTAAAACTCACACAGTGTATAACACTGAACCAAAATATTTACTGTCCTTTGAGTCCTTTAATAATATCTGGCTGTACTAGATGTATAGCATGAAAGGTATTTGATATATTATTTGGAACTGAGGCTATTTATGCTTCTCTTATGTGTGTCACCTTATTCTTTTCATGCAGCTTTACTTACGGAATTGGAGGTTATGTTTTCCAACTTCTTTGAGAAACATTTTTAAAGAAATGAATGTTGAAGCTTTCATATTTTTCTGATATTTTTATCCTTTACTAGGTGAAATATTTCCTATGTCTTTTAGTGTTTCATTATTCATGACATTTGTGTTTGTAATATTGTCCTCAGTATCTGTTTCAGCTCTTTTGTAGAGGTTTTAAATACATTACTCTAAGAAGATGTCTGAAATCTGGACCTAGAAAAACAACAAAATAGCATAACCCTTATACTTGTTAGTAACTTAGAAACGGTGGGATTTTACTGCCGGCCAGCAGGGTGACTTTCCATTCTTTCATGGACACAGTTGTTTCTTACTGGATAGGTTGATACAGTTCCTAGGGCCATGGGCTATTATAGTGGGATTGATAATAGTAAATATAAACTCTACCTTTGAGATATGGGATGAGAGAGTGTTACGAACAGTGTTGATCTGAGGTATTCACTTACATGTTTCATTCTTAGGAATTTCTCAAGACGAAGGGAATGAATTAAAGTGACTGTGTCTTAGATAAGTCAAGGGTAGGAAGCATGCCTTTTGTCCTTACTTTTCTACTAGCTTGGAACATTCACTAAGCCCTGGCATGTATGAGGAACACTGTAAATATCATGCACAGGACCAGCAGTGTCCCAGGCTGGGCTGCTGGCAGGCGGGGTGTGTGGCCCTGGAGTTAACAAGGCTGCTGGGGCCCTTCTGCCCAACTCTGCTCTTCGCTGACCTTCCTGAAGTCACTGCAACTTCATTAAGGAAGTCTTTTCTCTATCACCAGTAGCCTTATATCCTTTGAATTGATGTTCTTTAAAGAGCATTATTTGGGAAAAAAAAAAAAGATTTTTGTAGCTCCCAGCAAGTAGGAGATTGCAGAAGTAGTGTTGCAGTGCAGCGTGCTATACTTTTGATTGCTTTATCAAACTGCGTGGAGCTTGTATTTTTTTTCTGTTTTGGCGATGGAACCCAGGGGCACACTACCCTTGAGCTATATCCCCAGCCTTTTTAATTCTTTCTTTCCAGACGGTGTCCTTAGATTTCCCACACTGGTGTTGAGCTTGCGCTCCTCCTGCCTCGGTCTTCAGAGTAGCTGTTTACCGCCGTGCTGGGCTGGAGTTTACAGAGCTGCAGTTCAGAGGAGGATCAGGAAGGGTAGTAAGGCTACTTTGAACCTTATGTGATAGTTGTTGAGAATGGATCTCTGTATTCTCACCCTCTTTTGGGGGCTCTGAGGCATAGTCTGGGTTACATGAAGCCTTTTCGTTCAGGATGGGGTGCAGAGCATAGTTCTTCTGAGATCTAACCTTTTGTCTTTGTGGAGGCTTCTCTTTCTAACAATTTTATCAGTGTGTGTTAACTTTAATATGCATATGAATCACTTTGGGATTCTTGTTCAAATGCAGATTTTGTTTCCGTAGGTGTTCTGTGGGAAAGTACCTCAGTGCAGTGGTTATCCCCGAATACAGTATTAAGCAAGTTATCTCAGAGGATAGAGGCCTTCAGCAGCCAAATTAAAATGCTTGAATCTCGTTATGTATTACATCTATGTAAAGTACAAATCCAGGGAAAAGAGGCAAGGCGTGGAGTAGGTAACGCATTTAGGTGCAAAGCAGACCGGAAGGACCGAACTCCTGGACTCTCGGGCACACCACGTTCAGCCGATCCATCTCTCATACAAGCCTTCCTCACTGGTGTTGTGGTTTCCTGCTCCCCAGGGCCTTGCACCCGCCAAGCAGGGGCTTTATTACTGAGCCACATCCCCAGCCCCCGTTTCTTTTCTTAACCTCGTAACATAATTTAATATCCTCAAATAATACAACAAACTAACACAGTGGCAGGCCTGGAGTGGGACCTGAGATTGTGCATTGCTAACAAACTCCTGAGTGGTCCTGAAATTGCTGTTGGGTAGCTCTTCCTTTGGACTGAGAGTCCGAAGCAGAATTTTCTGGCTTCTGAAAGGGGTTGGCCATAGGATGCTGACTAAATCTGCTTTGCAGATGGGACTTCTGTAGCAGTTTGTACAGCGTAATATTCTTCGAGGATGAAACAAGTTATAATTATGTAACGTGCCTGAAGCTCTGCCTCTGGGTACCACAGTGGATAATGATCCCTGAATTTCTTAGGCGTTCGGGTCATTAAAAAGTGATGCTCTAGCGGGGAGTGATCAGGCATGTCTGTAATCCCAGCTACTTGGGAAGCTGATGCCGAGGACTGCAAGTTCCAGGCCAGCCTGGGCAATTTAGACCCTGTCTCAAGATAATACGAAGAGCCTCGGCTTGTAGCTCAGCCGTAAAACACATAGTTTGTGCAAGACCCTGGATTTAATTCTTGGTACCAGGCAAAAGAAGTCACATCGTTGGTGTGGTTTTTATTTATAAAAGGATAGGTCTGAGGTTCTTGATCACCTCTGTTTCTATCATTCCTTTGCACATCTAAATCAGTAAATTTTAGAGGCGGCATAAGAATGGCTGTCTTATTTAATTTACTTTTATTTGTATAACTTTGATGGCATAACATTTA